TTTATAGTCCAATTATTTTTTTTTTAACTTTTGTAGGAGTCCCTTTCTATCTTAAGTTCAAATAATAAGGGTTCCTTGCTAGATCCTCCAAGCATACCATAGTGATAAAACAACTAAAATAGAAATTAAAAGCTAAATAATTAATAAAATATATTTTTTGCTTTTTCCAAAATTTATCAAACAATATAAAAATGCATGATACAAGTAGGTTTAAATAAGCAATTGTTTCAACAATATAGTTAAACTTGTAATGTGCATGTTACTTCCCTAACAATGATGCTAAAAACTTGATGGGGGTGTGAGATAATAATATGAGCTAGTATGCAACTTGCTGAGTTTAAAATATGCTTAGATTTTCTTTGATATAAAATTAATAAAAGCCTACTTAAATATGCAAGTATATGTGATGAATCAAGTATGAAATTGATAAAGTGGGTGTCAAATCCACAAGAAAGTATTTTGCTTAATTGCAATTTAACTACTACTATTACTTGAAATGGATAACTTATCCTACTAAAAATGAAAATGAGATTTTGGAGTTTTTGGCACTAAAAAAAAAACTTACAAGGAGATTTTGATACTTATGAAAATAAAATATTTTAGACCAATGATTATAAATAATATAGTTTTCATAATGTGACTCTTTGATTTTAGATGTGGATTAGAGTATATGTATCCTTAGATCTGTGTCGAGCTTGTAAAAGTGAAAAAGAAATGTTTATGGCCTTTCTATAATTTTTTAATCTTCATAGTACCTAGAATATTCAAACATTCTATATCTAGGCATGCCAACATTTGATTTCAATACTCTTAATAATTACAATATTCCTCAGTCAAAGCTATACATAACACTAAATTTTAACTACATTTATGACTATTATATGCATTAAATGAAGAATAAGATATATTTAAAATATTGATATATGCATTAAAGCATAAGATTCTACATTAGTTCATACTAAGCTTTTTACATCATTAGCTCAAAATTAAAGAATTAGTCAGACATAGAAGATATAATAAGCAATCTCATCTTCATTCCATTCATTGAAAGAAAAGATACAAAAAAAGTAATAAGAAAATTATCACCCGGAAGGATCAAATGATCTTCTCCGCACTCTTTCCACCAACCACAAAGTTATTTACATAAATAGGCTAAGATCTCCATCAGAAAAAGTATCTTATTTAAAATGATAATATGCATAATATTCTTATCATTATAAATGATGTCTTATCTAATTTAAAGAAGATGTGCCACTTATTGGAAAAAAAACATGCAAATTTAAATTAATAATATATAGAACTATATAATGAGTTAGATAGTTGTAAAAAGAAAAATGATCCCTTATCTAAAAAAGTAGCTATATGTGCAAAATTATATATATATATATATATATAATCTCCCATACACATTTATATCATGACATTCACTCCATCAGTGGACCTAATGCAATTTTGTTTTCCAAGTTGACTTGACAAAATTTTTGTGTGGTATGCCTTCACTCTAGAACCAATTAAAGAATATGGTATTTGGATAATGGTTTAAGGTAAATAAATATAATAGGAGTCAACACCATTCTCTAGGGACAATGCCATTGAAAGGTCCTACTAGTTAATGGGCTGAAGCAAATCATGTTTCATATTCTTATTCTTTTATTAAGCTTTTAGATGAAGTTTATTTTGTGGTTGTAAATCTAATAATATTTTTTTGCTTAAATTGAAATGTTTAATGCCTAACAATTTTAAGTGCTTGAAAATATATTGTGATGATCCTTTGTTTGGCATAGATATTTCTATCATGTTAGTATGCATAATTTGTCTAAATTATCAAAGTGGGAATTAGTTGTAGGTTTACTTTGACTTTATTTTTTTAAGGATTAGTTATGTGTTGTTTGTTAATTGGAAAAATGAACTCACATGATTTTTCAAGTATAAGAATCAACTTTCCACGTCTAAACTCTTAAAGTTAACTGTATGGAGACCTATTTGGACTAATCATACCCACTAGTTTATGAGGGAAGAGGTATAGGTATTCCATTATGGATGATTACTACATATTCACATGGGTGGTATTTCTAATAAATAAGAGTGATGCATTTTTTAATTTACAAAATTATGAGATTAATTTAGAGATAAAGAAAGTTACCCATTATGCTTATTAGAAGTGATCATTGAGATAAGTATAATAATGAAACATTTGAGGATTTCTGTTAGGAAGTTGAGATTAAAAATGATTTTTGTCCCTTAGGACACCGAAAAGAAATGTTGTTGTGAAGAGGAAAATATGACCTTATTAGATATGACTAGAACCATGCTTAGTGAGTATAATTTGTCAAAATATTTTTGGGTTGAAGGAATAAATATTGCTTGTTACATCATCAATATGGTGAGTATCATAACTTATGAGATTTTGAAGAATGTAAAATCTTAGTGTTGCACATTTTCATTTGTTTTGTTGATATTTCATCTTGCAAAATGGTAAAGAGCGCTTCATGAAATTTTGCATAACGCATAATGAAAGAGGTACTCTACTAGCTATGCAGGGTGCATAATTGATCAAAAGAGAACCTCAATGACCTTTCAGTTTTTAGAACTTTCAATTTTAGGTCTAATAGAAGTATAATTCTATTATTTTATCCATTGCAAAAGTAGAATATTTTATTGTAGACAATTTTACTGCATAGCTATGGCGGATTAAGCAATAACTTGAAGACTAAATACTTAGACTAGATCACATCCGAGTTAGATTATATGATAGTAGTGCAATAAACTTATTGAAAAATCTTATCCATCACTCTTGAACTAGGCATGTAAAGGTTTAACACCATTTCATTTAAAGATTACATAGCATAGGGTGATGTAGTTGTAGATTTTGTTAACATGGATAAGAAGGTCACCAAAATTTTAATGAAACCTATAGATGAGAATTAATTATGTACACTTAAATGAGGCATAGATATTGTGATGCTGACCATGAAGGATGCATAGTTGATCGAAAGGGTATTGTAGGCACCTTTCCGTTCTTAAGACTCTTACTTGTATCTTGGTCCAATAGGAAGCAAAATTTTGTTGCTTTATACAATATAGAAGCAAAGCATGTCAATACAGGTAATTGTGTCACATAGCTACTTTAAATTTGACAATAACTTGAGGGTTATGGACTTAGATTAAATCATATCCCAATTATGTATGGCAACAGTAATGCAATAAGTCTATAAAAAAATTCTATTCAGCACTCGAGAATCAAACACATGGAAACTCATCATCACTTTAGACGAGATTACAAAGCTCAAAGTGATGTAGCCATAGAATTTTATTAGCACAGATCATTAGCTCGTTAATATTTTCACAAGACCATTAGTTAAGGATTTAGCCTATTCATTGAGATGATGATGTTTAGGGATGTTAGCTCCTTCATTATAAGTATTTTTCAATCATGTATATTATTATACAAAATCCCTTTGATGATTAAAAAAATTAAATTAAAATCAATAAAATATTAAAATTTATGGGTTAATGGGCACCCATTAAGTAGTATAAACCCATAAACTTTTACAGGCACCACAAAATTTGCTTTATTAATCTTTGTCCTTTGAACCCCATTTAGCATTCAAAGGGACATATCATCTTCATTAAGTAATTGGAAAATGAAGAAAGCTATTGGAATACCTATCTTTAACCCTTTATCTAAATTTAATGCTTTCAAAAGCCTTATAAGTCATTAAAATATGTTATTATCTCTTTATTGCTTCCAACTTTTCAAATTTTCAAAAACCTATTCTCAAAAAGGCTGGAGCTTTTTTTTTTTTCAGAAATTTGGGCAAAATAGAATAAAAAGGGCAAAATTAACTAAATTTCACTTCTTATTCATCAAAATTATTATTTTGAGGTGGGGGAATTAGCCACCCTCAAATGTACAAAAAGTTATTACGTCCGGCGTCCAGAGGCGAATCCGGGTGATGTGGCGCTTCCGGATTCGCCTCCGGATGGTTCGGACGCCAGGCGTAATAATTGGCCCAAATGTACATGATTACACCAATGATAATAGTTGAAGATATATTTAAGACATTAGCCTTATATATGATGTCCCAGTTTTTATGAGATTAAATATAAATTGAAGTTAATATAATAATCACTATGTTATTTGATTTGCTACAAATGAGATTGGACATTTAATTATCTAATTGAATATCATTGTATTAAGAGAGTTGCCTCAAATCAATCGTGTAATTGAGTTAAGTTGACTCATGAGCTAGCTCGGGGTTAACTCGATTAATAACTCATGAGCTGAGCTCAACAATCTAATAAGTCAAAATTGAGCTAACCTCGATTCAACTCATCAGCTCTTGAGCTAACTCGTTTAAAAAATGTTAATAAAAGATGTTCATCATATTCTGTTTCGTTTGGGACAACTTTTTTGCTGCTTTTTAAATAGGTTTTTTTTTATAAAAAATTTTTGAATTAAAATTTTTGTATTAAAAATTATTTTAAAAAACAGTAAAAAAATAGTTTCAAACAAAATCGGCAGCTCAAATTATCCCACCGGGCTTAGGTGGGTTGGTGGGCGTGCTTGGTTGGGAACCCCCCATCCCAAGTTCGAATTCTCTCTCATACAGCACAACTCCTTAAGTGGAGAGAAAAGAACAATGGGTCCTGCACATGTGGGGTTGGTTGCTGGTAGACTTGTCGAGGGATTAGTGGACATCGCCAAACGTATCACAAACTGACGTGACAGCGGGCCGATACCTCCGTTCCAAAAAAAAAAAAAAAAAGTTCAAAAAAAAAAAAAAAACCCGGCAGCTCAAATTAGAATTAGAATAATAGAATGGCTAAACTAAGCTCTAATTATTTACCCTCCTGCCATAAAAACCAAACATGGACTACAACCATAGATTCAAATTTGCTTAATCGCCCCACAAAAAGTACAGTTCCCGCTCTTTATTCTCTCTCTAAATTCAAATATGGAGCATGAATGGTCGCTCTGATAAATAATTATTCTGGCTTCTCCAACTACAAAACCCTAAAAACCTTCTCACCGCCGTTTCGGCAGCTGAGCCCTCGCTACTTTACTCTCTCATGTCTAAAGCGACGGCTCACTGCCGCACTCGGCAGCAGGAGAATGCCGGTAATGAACAGCCAAAGGTCGAATGCCCATTGTCCTCTAAGCGCCGCACTCGGTATCGGCAGAATGCCGTCGATGAGCAGCCGAAGCTCCTTGAATCCCCCTCATCTGTGCGCCGCACCCGGCAGCGGGATGGTGCTGTTGATAAACAGTCGCAGCTCCTCGAATCGCCTTCCTCTTCCGCGCGCTGCACTAGGCAGCGGCAGGGTGATGCCGGGGAGCGGCAGACGGTCATATCCTTGAAGAGGAATAAGGTGGCCTCTGAGACTGCTAATGGTTTCCCTGAAGAAGCGGGTACTGTTGCATGTGAAGGACACAGCCCGTCGCGGAAGAAGATAAAGGCGCCAGCTCCCACTGGTGTTAACAAGCTTGAAGAGGAGGGAAAAAATTTGGATATGGAAAAAGAAAACGAAAAAAAAGTAGAGAAGGATGAGCTTTGTGAAGATCCGGCCGCTAATTCGTCGAATAAGAAGAAAGGGGATTCTGGAAAGAAAGTGGTGAAGAAAGAACAGGAGTCAATTTGTAGATTTATTGGTGATCCTGTACCTGTCAATGAAGCTAAAATTAGATGGCCGGAGAGATACACCAAGAAGGTAATTAGCAGCCCTAAAAGTGGCATATAAGAATGCATAACTATTGAATGGCATATAAATTATTATTTAATAAAAAAAAAATACTGGTGAAAGGCGTGAAGATTAATATATTTGCATTAATGTATGCTTAAGTATGTTGGATTACAAGTAAAATTTAGCGCAACTAGCATTAATTGAATTTAAAAATTTGAATCCACAAACTTAAATGGTGTTAAAATTTGAAAATTATTTGTTATTGTAACTTTTAAATTAGTTAAATTGTGATAGAAGAAAATTAAGTATTTAAATGAATATTAAAATTTTAATTAAGAATTTAGAAGCCACATAATTAATTAAATGACTTTGTTAATTAATTTTCTATTTGCCTTAAAATTAGGATTTATTAGTTCTGTATTAGTCAACCAAAGAAATAATCAAATAAATTAAGCTTTCTGATATTTTTTATTGAATGATTGGAATTAATGTTGAAGAAAAGTTTGCTTCTGAGAGCAATGATGATTATGAGATGAGAAAATAATATTTGAGAAATGAAATTCACTTAAAATCAGGGTACATAGAAAGATAAATTTTAAATAGTTTAGAGATGAATTTTTTTTTTTAATATTTTCTTCACTTTTATCTCATTATTAGTCTTCCTCTTTATTCATTCTTTAAATATGAGCATAATTTTTCCATTGGGCATGTTTATTAGAGGTAGATTTCTAGCTTTTATATTAAACAAACTTGTTAGTCACTAAATTTATGATTATACTTAATTTCCTCATAAGAAAGCCTTCAATTTCTAATTGACTTCTTCAACTCTTTAATAGTCTTTGCTAATCACCCAATGGATAAATTCCTCAATATGATATTGATTAGGATAAGTAATAACCTTTGATCACTCTAATGTCTATTTTTTCAACCTCTACTCCTACTCTTGGTTTAATAAATGAAAAGAAAGATTGATATTATGTAAAAATTGATTTCTTTTTCTCTTTATAGAGAGACATGAAGAGATAAATTTTAAAGGATTAGACATGAATAAGATCTTGAGTTTGACATCAATTAATCTAAAAAAATCAAAGTTAAATCTTATCTAAAGATTTCATGATTAAATTAGTTGAGAGAAATTAGATTCCACACCTATCAATCTCTAACATGAATGATTGAAAATTTGTTGTCCTGCCTTAAAAGAGTTCTCTCTTTGGAATACCTCTTCAAAATCATTTATTAGGTTTCATTGGGACTTTGTAATACTTTAGCCTATTAGCGGTAAATTTGTCTTCATGAAACATTGTTCCTACTTTAATTGAAGAACACTAAAGCACTTAGCTTTGATACTAATTGCCAAAAAAAAAACTGCACTCTTGAAAAGCGATGATTATCAGAAGAAACTGAAAATAATCTACAAAGAAAACATTAAAAAATATATGGTAGTTTATGTAATTTGATGAGTCACTTATGTCCATGATTGCATAGAAAGATAATTGTAGATTCAATTAAAAAAAATTATGATATAAATATTCAATTTGTATTGTTCTTTCATTTATTCCTACTCCAAATTTTAGGGAAGTTCCTCTATTGGCTATATTTATAGATATTCTCCTTGTATTCTATGTTGAACTATTTTGTTGGTTGGTAGCCCTTATTACATTTGTCAAAAATTTTTAAAGAAGGCTTTTAGTTTCCAATTACCACCTCTGCCACTTAACTGGTCATTATCTACTACCCATTAGGTAAACCTTTTTGTGACATCAAGTAAGATAAGTATTAGTCTCTTCTTATTCTATTGACCACTTCTTTGAAATCTATTTTTGAACATGGTTGAATGAAGGAAAAATGAGTAATGTCTTAGAATTATTGATTTATTCATTTTTTTTATAAAATAACATCTGTTGGTAGGTATGAAAATTAGATGTGAATAAGATGTTGGGTTTTTCATCCACCAATCTCAAAAAATCTTAACTAAAATTGATCTAAATGCTAGTATGATTGAGTGAAATTAGAGTCCACACAATTCAAGAGCCATTTTTTAGGACCATATAAATATAAATTTTTTGGATGAATACAAGATTTAAAATTGCGCAATTAGGTATTGAAGCATTTTTTTTCACGAGGCGAGGTGTAAGCCTCAAAATCTAAAAAATGTGTAAAGTTAAAATGATAATTGTTTATACATTAATGACTAATCTAATAATATAAAACAGAAAAAGTACAAGATATGAAGTGTCAATTAATAAGTTGTTTGAAAATAAAGTGAAATCCAAACATCAAAATAATAAGTCAATATAAAATATAGTTCAACTTAAAATTCCATCTCTTCTAAATCCCAATATTTTGTTCATTAACATGTAATTCAAAAAATAAATAGCATTGACATAACAACTCAGAAGTCACCAAAATTGTCATCACTAAGTGGGTCTTCATTTGAATCATCGTTATGATGAACTACTCTCTCCCCTTCCTCATCTCCTATAGAGTTTAATGTCTCCCAATTAGGTCCTTCCTCTATATCAATTATCTTTTTCTTCCCTAAGTCTTTTTGAATGATATCTAAATGAGTAATACATTAATAAAAGTAAAGTATAATAAAACTATGTTATTTATATACATTTTTTTATTTGTTCTTAAGTTGTGATGGATGTAAATGCTCTATAATCATCAAAGAAATCAACATTTAAATCTTCCTCTCGTAACTCAAACGGTGTCACCTTCATTTCATCATTTAATAACCACTCGTCATCAAATGTCATATCCTCATAAATCAATGGATCTTCTAATTTTCTTCTAGTTTTTTGTTTTTGAGTCTCTTATTGTACATAATGTACAATAGTGAATTCATTCTCAGTTTCGACAAACGATTTCTCCTATTTGTATGCATTTGGTTGTAGGTGCTCTAATTCCATTCACATCTAGATGAAGAACATGTTAATCCCAAAACTTTCACAACAAAATGTTATAATTCTAAAGTGTCATCATTAAATTAAATCCACCATTCAACTAAGATTTACATAAATGAGTATAGTCAATACTCAAAGAACAAGTTTTAAATAAGTAAAACAACAAATGAAATTACTTGGAAATCGTTTGGAAATAGTGTACTTGGCCTATTGTAATAGAAAAACTTTTCTTTATTCCTAAAAGGTATCAATTGCATGACAACATTTAATCTTTTTGTTGCATCACCTACCACCAGTCGATCCATACAATGATACAATTCTAATTTATTTTAAGATTTGTAGACTTATTCTCTGCATATTGGTACTGAGGGTTTAAGTAATAGCCTATTGTATATAAGTGTCAGTGAAGCTGTAGCTTTTATCTATCATTAATAATATTTCAAATTTTCTTTTAGCTTCCCTCTTCGCCCCCTAAATTGCAGGAAATAATTTCTTTAACTTTATCCATAGTAGGGGTGTCAATTCGGGTTGACGGGTTGGGTTCGGGTTGAATCCGACTTGACTCGGGCATAAACGGGTCAACCTGAACCCGACCAGTTTAGGTAAATGGGTCAGGAAATTAAACCCGGACCTGACCCGCACAGGTTGCCGGGTTGACCTGACCCGACCCGTGAATCCCTTTGACTAGGCAGTGCTGGAGATGCTGCAGTCTGCACGGAGGTCGGCGGGGTTGGCGTCAACTAGATGGATAAGATGTGCTAACTCGACAGGATGTTGACGGCAACTGGTGTCCGGTGTGTGTGCACCACGAAGTCGTCGTTCGACGTTCGCGGACAAGGCGTTGCAGCCTCACAAGCGACTAAGGCGAGTCCGCGAGTAGCGGACGCTGGTCGCCGGACATATTGAGTGCTTGGGTGCTTGACACGATAGCCGGACGTATTGAGTGAATGAGTTCTTGGGTGCTTGACACTGTAGAAAGGTGAGGACTGTGAGGTCCAATCCCTCTGAGGCAAAGCCGCATATGTTAGAGTTGGTGAGGCGACCTCCCTCGGGCCCTGGGACTTGATTTTTTTTTTTTTTGTGACAGCGCGGCCTTTAAATTTTAATTATGGGAAGGCTAAATCCGGGTCAATCAGGTCAATTCCGGGTTACCGGGTTGACCCGGACCCGACCCAGTTATTAAACGAGTCGAAAATTGAGACACGAACCCGACCTTTTTGTTAAATAGGTCGACCCTAACCCGTATTTTTCTGGTCGGGTTCGGGTCGGGTCAATTATTGACACCCCTAATCCATAGCATTGTAAATGAAATTTATAGCAGACCTCTTCTCTGCATCCACCATCCTTAAAATTTGTACTAATGTTCTAATGATTGTGATGAAGTAGCCAAAATTTATCATTTAAAATAATCTTTCTAACCTCTTTCACCTTGGGTTTCTTTGTCCATGCACATCTCAACCACTGTGCGGAGGTAAATATAAACTCTGAAGATTGTCTAGCATCCAACATACTCTCTAATGTCAAGTAACTGGTGACAAATATTGTCGCTGTTGTCCTTAGATTTTTTTTTTTTTTAAATTTCTCATAAGAGTCAAAACCCAAAAATGGTTGTAAATAAACTTAGTTATTTTCTTTGCTTTGCTAAGTGCATATTTATGTTGAGGCAACATCCCAAGCTTCTCAAGAATAAGATCTATGCAATGTGTAGCACATGGAGTTTAATATAAATGTTTCCTCCCTCCATAAGTTTTTTCCCAACAGCCTTGTAAGCACTGGTATTATTTGCTACTAATTGTACTACTAAATGCTCTCCATCCTCCTCAACAACTCTACCTAATAATTTAAAGATGAACTCAATATCCTTGACCTAATCATATACTTCAATTGACTTTAAAAATACGGTACCATAAGGATTATTAATCAGAATGTTTATTAAACTTCTATTTTTCATATCTAACCAATCATATGATATAATAATTACACTTTTTTGGCCAAAGTCCTCTTAAAATTTTCAATATTTTTTTGGGTTTTGACTGTTATGCGAAAATTTTCAAGCAACACTTGATGAAATAAGAATAGATTAGGTTTAGGTTTTTTTTAATAATATTTTTTAAGAGGTGAATGCCTTGTCGAACTGAGGCGAGGTGCTCCTTGAGGTGTGCCTCTGTTTAATTGAGGCGTACGCCTCATATTGCAACTGCAAGGCATCTCGCCTCATATTTCAACTTCAAGGCATCTGCCTTGATGCTCAAACGACTTGAATTGCGCTGAGGCGCGCATCTTGTTGCGCAATTTTAAACCATAGATGAATAGTGAGGATTATTAAAATTAAATTGCACTATTTTACCTTTCAGGGAAAGCAATTTTTTAAAAGATCAATCACTTCAATTTCCATTGTTTTTTAACTTATGAAAGTTCAAATGACTTATTAGAATTAACTTGATAAAGATAAGTAGTTGAAATTTTTAAGAATTTTTTTTGAATAATTTCTATATCAATTGGCATAATGAATTGAAAGAAATAAAAGCTGATAATGGATGAGCTTGGTGCTTACGTGGTGTGATAAAGATAATTCAAGTAATTTAATTGATTGCTTCTGTGGTAGACAGTTATTATAGGCTGGCTTCATTTCGCTAATAATTTCTATACTATCCTGTTTTTATTAAAATAATGAAACAAAGGAAGGCTAATTATGTATCACACATTTTTTTTAACTGGTAAAGGCATTCTTTTATTTTTTTAATATTTAGAAAAATAATGTATACACATTCTCCATTCTTTAATTTTTTCTTTGTTTTCATCTTTCTAGGTTGGTGGGCCAAAGTCTATATCTTCATCAGACTATGGAAAGTATGCTTCTTAACTAAAAAACTTGCATTTTTTTTTTACTGAAGTTAAATGAATGGGATTTTCTTCATTTTCTTTCATGGTTGTATGATATAATCGCCATATCTCATCTATTAAATGCTTTTTTGGTTTTTGGATTCAATTTTGTTATTTTTTTAAATCAGATCGCTTAGGATTTTCAGTTCACAAAGTTCATATCATAGTTTGATTGTGGGTAACACATGGTGTAATTAGCAGGTTTTTTAGAGAGAAATTGAATCTCTGGATATCTAACTGGGAAATGTTTGTTGCTAGTGATAGCATTTGTTGTCATTTTCATCTCGTTCAACCATTTAAATTTTCCGTGACAGTGAAGATGAAGCTGAGCCTGCCAAAGCTAAATGCCATTATTATCAGGCAATGGTTGATGGTGTTGCCTATAACCTCAATGATGACGCACATGTTAAGGTGAAATACAACCGTGTACTTTCGTCATGTAATTTGGCCAATTTCTTGCAAAAAGTTTATCAACTCTTCTAACATCTAAGTTATTTCAAATATTACAATTTCTCTCTTTACTATAGGAATCCCACATAAGTTTCCTTTTTTTTTTATGAATTTTTAATTTTTGGATTCTAACATTCTCTGGCCTACTCAGCCCTGTATAAAATTTTCCTGAATAAAAATTTGTGAACAGTCATAACTGCTCTATCCTATGCTGTAAGAACAAATATTCAAAATGTTATGCATAGAACGATTTAACTAAAGAATGCATTTTTCTATTTATTTTATTGGGAAATGCAAAAACAATTATTCAAATATACTGTGCATATAGCATAGATGTAAGAATTAATTTCATTTAGGCCTTCTCCAACCAAACTCCAAATGCATGAATGACATTGCTCGCGAGCTCCAGCCCAACAACAAAACTTCCGGTATTTGGTTGCGGGTGAAGAGTGTAACACCAATATTGGCGTTGCATTGTTCACCTATGTTATTTTTCTGTCTCTATCGAGTTTGCCCAAGAATTGCGCGAAATAGAGAAAGACCGTTACCTTCTGCAAAGGGTGTAAAATGGAGTTTGATTGAAGATGAATCACGCTATTTTTTAGTTTTACTATATTTTAGAGTGAAAAATGAGATTTTCGGTTGGAGATGCCCTTATATATAATCGCATAATAACCAGTTCATGTTTTCTTCATTATTTGTTCTTTTTTTTTGCTTTATTTGCATTGGCATATTAACGATCACAATACCATGTTGTGAATAAAAATCTATGCTTCCATCTTTGGTTGTCACTATGCTACCAAAAAATCTAAGTGCTTTTCATGTAAGAGTCGAAATTTTTCTTATGTTTCAGTCTAATTATGGGACAAAATTGGTTTGAAGGTCTTGTTTGGTGATTAAAAACCTTCCATAAATTCATATTTTTTTACTTAGTATACCATTAATTTGGTTTTCTAATTAAAGTTATGGACATGAAGTTTTTAGATTCATGCTCAGAGCATGTTTGCTACGGATTATTATTATTATTATTATTTTGGTATAACCTTTATTGTTATTACTTCAATTATTGCTGCTGCTGCTACTTCTTTTTAGTAGTATAAGCCATTGTGAAGGAATAATTATGTGAAAATTCACGAATTCCGCTTTTAATTGTTTTTTTAGGCCGGTGATGGTGAACCAGATTATATTGGACGTATTATTGAATTTTTTAAAACTGTTGAAGGGAAGCTGTATTTTAGGGCCCAATGGTTCTATAAAGCTGAGGATACTGTAAGTTGTTTGATGCACAAATTTTATGTTTTTAAATATTTTTAGTTATCATAAAAGATCTAAGCAAAATTTTTATTTGGTCTTGTAGGTAATTAGCTATCATGCGAATGACCATGATAAAAGAAGAGTCTTTTTGTCTGAAGACCGTAATGACAATGATTTAGAATGCATTGTGTGCAAGATTAGAATAGTTCGGATTGCAAATAACGTAATTTCAACGTTTTATATATATATAAAAAAAATCTTGCCATGCGCATTACATTGTTTGTGTGATGTTATAGTTAATTATTTGAATTTTATTTAGTATATTATCTTTTGTAGAATGGTTTACCTTTAAAAGATGAGATTCCAGAGTGTGATTATTATTATGATATGTCATACTCACCCTTCTATTCCACTTTCGCCAATCTCCCCAAAGGTACTTTCTGGATATGTTCTGTTTATATTTAGCATTCTTTAATTTTTATATATCGTCTTATGGTTATTTTTATTATTATTTGACTGCATACCATGGTACACTACTTTAGATGATACTAGCGGTGTTAGTTCAGTGTCAACTACTTCAAGTGACGAAGGTTTTGAATTAGAAGCATCTCCAATGAATGCTAATTTGCTAGATTTGTACTCCGGTTGTGGTGCAATGTCTACTGGCTTGTGCCACGGTGCTCAACTTGCTGGTCTTAATCTTTACACTGTAAGTTGTGAACGTGAACTTAGCATGAAAAAAATTCCTTTTTTGTTCATAATTTCAATTATCGTAAATATTTTTATCCAATTTACTTTATTATTATTTGATCATTGTCATTTTTTTGTTGTAGACGTGGGCTGTAGATGTTAATTCATTTGCCTGCCAAAGTTTACGGTTGAACCATCCAAAAACAAAGGTATCTATTCAATGTCTAATGCTTGATGCAATTGTATTATTATAAACAATTCTCTGGTCAAGATCTTTGTTAATGCATTCTGATTTCTGAATATTAAACTTGGTTTCATGCTTTCGTTAGCCTTTTCACTATGGATCTATTGGTTTTTTAATGATTTTTTTTTCATGATTTTGTTTTTCAGTTCTCAGGATGGGCGAAAACTTTTTCACCACCAAACTTAAAGTGCTATATTTTGTTTTTGCTGTTCAATTCTAAGAAGAATCCGTGCTTTTACTGTTTTTATATGATCAAACCGTAACCTTTTTTGTGTTGCTAAAATGAAGGTCCGAAATGAGAAGGCTGAGGATTTTCTTACTCTCTTGAGAGAGTGGAAGAAATTATGTGAGGAATTTTCCTTGGACGTGAAACATCCACCCAGGCCGAACAAAGAGTCAGATGACTTTAGCGATGATGGCGGCGATAATGATTCAACTCCTGTGCCTAAAGGGGAGTTTGAGGTGGATCATTTCGTTGATATTTGCTTTGGAGATCCAAATGAAATTGGCAAAAAAGAGTTGATGTTTAAGGTGATGTGTAATACAGTAAAACATATTGCTATGGAGTCCATTCTAATTTATGGATTTCTTGGAAACAGTTTCTTTTTTCCTAGGGTTCTGGCTGATTCTTCTTTGTTCATTTCATTTATTGGTATTTATCTTCTTATAGGTGCGATGGAAAGGCTATGGAGCAAGTGAAGATACATGGGAACCTATAAGTGGCCTAAGGTACTGTATTCAGGCTTTATATAACTTGTTCTTTATTTGCTATTAACTCGTATTGTTTTAATCTTACATAGCAAGTGTTCTGAGAGAATTGAAAATTTTGTTCGAAAAGGATACCAAAACAAAATTTTGCCTTTGCCTGTGAGTACCTTGCATTTTGGTGCTTTTAAGCCCTCAGCATTTTGTTTTTCTCTACCATGAATTTAGATGTACACGCATAATAATTTTTTTTAACGTTTTCTATAGGGAGTTGTCGATGTTATTTGTGGGGGTCCTCCTTGCCAAGGTATCAGTGGGTTTAACAGATTTAGAGATTATAATAATCCACTTGCGGATATCAGAAACCAACAAATGGCTGTATTTATGGAAATCGTGGATTTTCTTAAGCCTAAATATGTCTTGATGGAGAATGTCGTAGATATTCTTAAGTTTGCTGAAGGATTTCTAGGGCGGTTTGCATTTAGCAAGCTGGTTAAAATGAATTATCAATCTAGGTTAGGTATAATGGCTGCTGGCTGTTATGGCCTTCCCCAATTTCGAATGAGAGTATTTCTATGGGGTGCTCAGCCCAGTGAGGTATTTATTTTTTCTTTACCTCATTTTGTTACTATCTTAGATCTGTTTTTAATTTTTTTTTTCATTCCCAGGTTTTACCACAATTTCCTCTACCTACACATGATGTACTAGTTCGAGGTGGTGCCCCTGTGAAATTTGAGGTAAATATAAATCAATGATGTATTACAAATAGTTATTCTTGCATTCGATGCTTAATAACATGGTGATTCTATTTGTTTAGCAAAATATTGTTGCTTATAATGAAGGTCGACGGCCACAACTTGAGAAGGCCTTATTTCTTGGTGATGCCATTTCAGACCTTCCTAAAGTATGCATGGTTTTTATTGGCATTTTAATTTTGTTTTTCATAGCTGTTCTTTATTTTGTTGATTGTAAAACCTTCAGGTAGAAAATAATGAAGCAAGAGATGAAATGCCCTATGGAAGCAGTCCAAAAACAGATTTTCAGTTCTCCATCCGCCTCACCGAACCAGGTAACTTGAAGCAAGTTCTGATTTTTATTTTTTTTAATTCCTATAAGCAGTAAATGAATCATGTTCAAGCTCCGTAGTGATCATGTCAGTTTTGTGATGGGGACCTTCGGAGATTTTTAGACCTTGGTCTAAATTTTTCAGCTTCCTATTTATGTTTTATCTAACAAGACTTCTTTTCAGCATGATTGGTCCTTGATCTAGTTATTCCTAAAATTTATATCCAATATGACTTATTTATTCTAACAATATTTTTACCTTGGTAGAATATTCTAATTGGAACTCCATGTCTAGAGGTTATATGAGCAAGATGTATGGAGACTGCAAGATGTTGTCGTTATATAAGTGCATGTGCATTTGTATAGCCATAATTGGGTATATTTTTTGTATAAAGGATACTATTTTTTATTTTTACTTGCCTCTACCGAAAGTTTGGAGTAGGAATTATTATAGTGTAGGTGAGGATTGAATCTAAGATTTTGATAATAATTCTTGAAGCCTTTACCAAACATGATTAATTAATTGGCACTCACATAATAGATTATATGTGATTATTATAAATGTATTAATTTATTTTATTTCAATCGCATTTGGCATGAGATTTTTTTATAGTTATGCATGTTATGAAATTATTTCATATTTGTTCAGCCTTATTTTATTTACAAGAAAATGTTGATGGTTGTTGAAAAGTTTTCTTTGATCATTGGCAATGCTAGATTTTTTTTCATGGATGCATAGTACTAAACTTCTGGTTTTTAATTTTATTTGCATTCCTTAGATTTGGTAGACCCCTCCTCCAACCCAAAGAAGGCAGTTCTCCATAATAACTTATTTGATCATCGACCATTGCAGTTGAATGAAGATGACTATATGCGTGTATGTAGAGTACCTAAAAAAAAGGTCGGTTTTCTAATATTATTCTTTTAAGTAGCATTTTATATCAAATTTATTGTATTTCTATTATTGTTATGAGGGTTGAGCTGTTTTTGAACTTTATTATTATGTATATGCATATAGGGAGCCAATTTTCGAGATTTTCCTGGTGTTATAGTTGGTCCCAATAATGTTGTGGAGTTTGATCCACAAATTGAACGGGTTTTACTTCCTTCAGGGAGTCCTTTGGTAAATTCATCTACTTTGTTCAAATTTTTTTTTTTCTAATGCTATTATAACTATTTATTTATTTGTTTGATACAGGTTCCTGATTATGCTATGTCATATATCAAGGGAAAATCTCCAAAGTAGGGTTTAATATTTTTTTTAAACCTTCATTGCCTTCTGAAATTGAATGTTTCTTTTCCATTGATTTATATGTATTGTCTAAATAGGCCCTTTGGACGGCTATGGTGGGATGAGACTGTGCCCACGGTAGTAACTAGGGCAGAGCCACACAACCAGGTAAAATGGTCCCAACTGTTTAGGTGAAATCTACAATGATTTATTTGTTTTGGTATTATCTGTTTAAGCTCCTTTTTCTTTGTAGATTATTTTACATCCTGAACAGGACAGGGTGTTGACCATAAGGGAAAATGCTAGGCTTCAAGGATTTCCTGATTACTATAAATTGTGTGGTCCTATTAAAGAGAGGTAAAACCCTCTATCTTTACTGTTATTCTTGTTTGCTTGTTCCTTGATATTCTTATGAGTATGTTTAATATAGGTATTATTCAGTCCAAGAATAGAAATTTTAAGGTTTTGACAAACTAAGGTTTCGTTTGGAATAGTTTTTTTTTATGTTTTTTAAAGCAGCTTTTTGATACAAAAATTTCTTGAATCAAAAAATTGTTTAAAAAGCTGTTCCAAAGGAAACTTAAGTTGGCTTCTACCCATTAAAGGTATTTTTTAGATGCACGTTTTTTAAAATGTTATTCTTTTTGGGATATTTAGGCCATTTAAGGCAAACTCACACACACAAGGCATACATAGACTTGAACCCTAGACCTCTTAGTTGGAAGCCTAAGCTCCCAACCAATAGGTTAAAGAGAGCTGTGTTTAAAATGTTATTTGCCATGAAAATCTTTTAGAAACTAATGATTACATAACAGATCAAAAATTTTTTTTTTTTTTTTAATTTGCTTTTCTAGGGAGATTTTTTATGAATCTCAGCTTAAACAAAGTTATAATAAATCCTATACAAGCCATTATCTTACCTAATCACAGGTAAGTTTTAGGCTTCATTTGGGACTGTTTTTTTATTTCTTCTTAAAGCAGCTTTTTAGTACTAAAAATTTGCTTTAAAAAACAGAAAGAAAGTCATCTCAAATGAAGTTTTAGGGATTTGTTATTTTGTTGCCAATCTTTTCTTGAAAACTTAATGTCGATTTATAGTTTTGATCTTTACTGCAAGGAATAGCTTTTCAATAAAGTATTTCTTTTTTTTTTTAAACTGGACAGGTATATCCAAGTTGGTAATGCAGTTGCTGTACCAGTTTCAAGAGCCCTTGGTTTTGCACTAGGCCGTGCATTCCAAGGCAAAGGCGGTGATGATCCTACCTTTACTCTTCCTGCAAACTTCCCCCACTTTGGTGTTGGGGCTGGTGAAGCAATCAATTGACGAGCCAGAAGAAGAAAAAAAGTTTTATATATTCTATTTTTTATGATATTTTAGAATTATAAAACTTCAATTCCATAATTTATTATCTAATCTCTAACTTAGAGTAGTATCCTTTGCTTGTCAATCATATGTTGTACCATTGTGAGTTTTAAAGTGATTTAGGCTTTGTTTGGGATAACTTTTCTTTGCATTTTAGGGAAGAATGGTTACTAATGCAATACCATTTTTATCAGTTTGTTTTCTTATCTCATAATTACCAAATTTTCCTTCACATTATTGTGTGTTTCATTGAAGTGATATTTAAATTTGTTTAAGGCACAAATAATCACTTCAAAATGTTTCATGATGACTTAACAAGCCCATATTGTCACATGGAAGTGCTCTCTTTGATATCAAATTAATGTAGCCTAGGATTTGAGTGTACCAAGGCTTATGCTTCATGTTGGGGTGTATAATGTTTCTTAGGAACATTGAGGATTTGTTTTGAATGGTTGAAATTTTTTATAAAGGTGATTATAAAGTTGCTGTAGATAAAGTAATTTTTTTAATACAAAAGTTTATCAAATGAAATGAAAAAATTAGTAGTTAAAAAAAAATTGTGGTTGCGATTTCAAAAGCAAAGTAGTAAGATTGACCCAAACAAAACCTTAGAATGAGGTTGGTGGCATATAGGATGAGGGTGGTGTTAAGGTCAACCAAGGCATGATCATATCAGGTCGTGAGTATGATAATAACTAATGAAATTAGGTTTTGAAAATAAAGAATATCTTCGATAGGGATATATTTACTTAAGTTTTTGAGTTTGTTGGATTCTTTCAAGGAATTTAAGGTATTGAATTAATATAAAACTTATACTAGGTCTTAGAAACCTTAATATGGCTGACTTGATACATGGCACTATTTCTTTAAACTTTGTTTATGTAAGATGGCTTGAAATACTTAGAAGTGATGTGGAAATACTTCTAATTAAGTTATGGAGTTTATGGGATTTTTCCAAAGATTTTAGGTGGTGAATTGAAATCAAAATCAAGATTAGGTTATTGAAACCCTAATATAGCTAACTTGAAATATGGCCTTGTTTCTTTGGCATGTTTCAAAACATAGTTGTATTTTTTATGTGATATGAGATATGTATGGAAAGGTTTAATAGGAATTTAATCAAAATTATAAAAAATTTACATAAAAATTTTAAATACTTGCCAAAGAGCACCTCTCAGTCATGAATTTCAAGGAGAAAGAAAAATGTATTAACACATAAAATTTTATTTCCAAATATTTAATAATATTTCATTGCAGTAAAATAACATTTATATAAACATTTCATATAAGTTTTATCAATTGAAATTTGAAATCTCTCAAGGTGTGGTTCCTTATTTCAAAGAGATAGTTGGTTGGTTGGAGTTACATGATATGGCCGCTCCTTTATTTTATGAAGAGGGGTGATGTAATTTCATGAATTTTTGAACTTGACTTGGAATCCTCATTGGGTGCTTCTTTATGTTGGATATAAGTTGAAGGAACCTCCCTTCAATTATTTCTCATTATTAAGGCCAAATAATGAAGCTTGGCAGTTGGCACACCACATCCAATGATAACTTGTCTTGAAAATTTCACCTTTTTTTCTTTTATAAATTATAATATTGACCTACATGTCAAAATACACGCGTAAAGAAGCAAAATGTGTGACAAAAGTGATGTGTGCGGCTATGCGATGCTCCAATTGAAGGGTCGAATGATGTCTACTCACCAAATCGATTGCGTTGTTGTGACCAAAATGTCAAATTCCCCCAAGTCGAAGACCCTAGCAGTCAAATCAGGAGCGACCAGTCAAAATTGGTGATTGACATTTGAAAATGATGTATGAAGCTCGATCGCAAAACAAACTTTGACGTTGTGATCAGAGCATTGTCAATACTCAAAAGATATTACAAATTATTCAATTAAATCAGTGCAATGAGATTAGTGTGGGTCCCAAAGCAACAACATGCAAATTAACGCCCAAATGACCCCCAATCGCAAAAAAGACTTCACCATTACGCTCGAAATGTCGACAATACCTAATGCGTCGCCTACATGCAAATACAACAATGACTTCACTATAAGTGTTATAGCATAAGTACATATAAAGGGGCTTATGATGCAATAATTCATATGCAAGCGAACATCAACAATCCACAAATATAACACTTACAATAACCTGCAAGAAGCCCATCATGAAATAATAACCCACTCACGGGTGAAGATGGATGATGATGTGATCAACCGATGACAGATGTAAATTCCCATAAGCAAGAGCCAAGAGTATCAGCACTTGAAAGTAACGGTAGGAGATTTGTCGTGTACAATAGTCTACCTACCAATTCAAGTTTACAAATCTTGTAAATGTCCAGTACTTTATTCATCACAAGTTGCGAGTCGCCGAAGATTTGGAAATATTGGATTATGACATGGATTGCAATCTCTAGTCTCACTATTATAGATTCATACTCAGCTTTATTATTAGTTCAAGGCTCAATTAAACTAAATGAGAATCTCATTATGCCTCCTTCAGGTGATATAAAAATGAGACTGATGTTGGCTCAGGCTCTTATAAGATTTGATGGTCGGATAAGTATAATCGATGATGCCCCGTCGAAGTACAACTCCCAAAATGGTAGTTTTTCATTCTCCTAGGCCTGCATAATTTGTTCATCAGGAAAATTACTAGTAAGTGGGGAATCTACCAGGATAGGATGTGCGGTAAGAAAATATGTTAATGCTTATTCCTTCACTATTTTTTGTGGCATGTATGTGATATAAAATTACAATAATCTAGCTAGATGACCTGTTAATGCTGGTATTGTCATCAAGAACTTCAATAAATTGATCTTTGATATCAACATAATTTTATGTGAGAGCACATAGTGGTGGAGCTTTTGGATTGTAAAGATCAATGTCAGTCAATACTTCTCAATTGGGAAATAATGAATTTATGCCCAATAAACATCCGACTGATGTAGTAGAGTATATTTTCTTTTCCTTCTTCATTATGTTGGGCTAATAATGCTATGAGGGATTCTTTTAGTGCTGCCACATATAATATAAGAGGCTTCCCCGGAATTGGCATCGAGAATGGGCGGATTTAACAAGTATCTTTTGATGCAGTTGAATGCTTTTCGACACTCTTCGTCCCACTTTGAAGTGAACATCTTTATTCATCAATTTAGAGAATGGTTGGCGTCAACCCAATATATTTGATATGAATCATCGAATGAAAGCCAGTTGTCTTTGCAAAGAGCGAAGCTATCGAAGATTTCTAGGAGGCGACATCTCCAAGATTGCTTTGATTTTATTGGGATCGATCTTGATTCCTTGATATCAAACAATGTATCCAAGGAATTTACCAAAGGAGATCCTAATAACATATTTGAGAGGGTTCATCTTCAAATCAAACTTTATGATTCTCTCAAATACAATCCTTAGGTTATTTAAATGATTTTTTCGATCCATGCTCTTGATAAAGAGGTCATCTACATAGAACTCAACCTTATGATGTATTAATTCATCAAAGATACATATCATTGCATGCTAGTAAGTGACACCAATATTCTTAAGGCCGAATGGCGTAACCTTGTAGCAGAATATGCTGATGGGCATTCTGAATGTTGTATGTTTTTCATCTTTAGGTACCATCTTGATCCATCCATAAATAAGAATATTTTGTAATTGAATGTGTTATCCACTAGAAGTTCTGATACTGGAAGAAAAAATTCATCCTTTGGACATGCTTTATTGAGGTCCCTAAAATTGATGCATATAAGGATCTAATCATTCTTTTTTCTTGATAGGGACAATATCAGTGATCCAGTCGACATATTTTTCTTCTTAGAAGAATCCCTCTTCTATGAGCTTTTTTGTCTCTACAATTATATGTTCTTCAATCTCCAATCGCATTCTCCTTGGAGCTTGTTTGACGAGTGTTGCATCTGGTCAATCTATGAACTGCAACATCAAGGGATAAGTCAGGCAGCTCAGCGTATGTCCAGGCAAAGCAATTCCTAAATTCATAGAGGAGTTATTTTATTTCTTCCACTTGGTCTTCTGGTAGAAGGGAGCTAACGAAGGTTGGGCGAGGGTCCACCTTTGTTTCCAAGTTAACTTCTTTTAGCTCATCCATAGTGGCTGCATGTCCACCATCTTCTAGTTCTTTTGGTGTGGGCTTAGCTTCTATGGGTTGATCATCCTTCAACTTTATATATTTCCTCAACATCATTGTCGTTGGATTCGATACCCCTGCATGTGATTACTCGGCAAATCATCTTTTGAGGGTAATTTCGCATGATAAATTCGAGACCTCTTTTTATAAAAATATCATTCTTCATTAATGAGTAAGGATTTCTTAGATACTTAAGGATTTCTTCGATACTAGAGGCTCAAACAAAAATGAACTTGTTGTTTGACGAAACAAGTATTATCTCGCTTTTGTAACATTCTTTGGATATTTCTAGCATTATAAATAGGGAACATCGTAGATACTAATTCCCTGAAATTGATGAGTATATAAAACCAATAACAATTTTCTTCTTCTTTGATCTTTCCAATTGAATAAAATAAGCTCCTTGTCCCACCCCTTTTTTGTGAGGAGGCATATAACGGGTTATAAGGTCTTCGACATTATGCTCTCTTATAGAATGATTTATTTAAAGTGTTGTAGGGGAATACACGTGACTACGAGTATGCTATATGAGATTAATAGGCTAGCTATTCTTTTGAAGAATATTTCATGTAGATAGAGTCATAGTCATAATCATCATTTGAATATTCAACCTCCCTTCTTCCTTTGCCCGTTAACTAGTATATCCACTGAGATTTGGTAGGGGTGGCATCACTTTTATTTTTGTCACTCCCTAGATGAGGCACGTATTTTATTTCTTTAGGAATAGTCACAGCTTTGGGAAGAGTCGACGTTGCATTCTTTCTCCCCAGCTTCTTTTTCTTGCCTTCTTGTTTAGGTTGCTTTATAATCTCTTGATTCGATGTCTAGGCCTCAAGAGAGCTCGATGACTTTAGGTTATTTGGGATAAACTATTTGGCATCTTCGTAGATTGTTACTTCATGAACTACGAGGGCTGGATGTCACTAGAGATCCTAAATTCTTCGTCATCTCTGAGGTACTTCATGCATTGATATAGTGTTGATGGGAT